AGTCCATGTGTATAGCTAAAGGCTACATAACAAGCAACAATGCCAGACAAGCAATACCTTCTTTTGAGTTGATAGCCAGGGTGGCCAAAGGGACTCCCAGATAGTAACCCAGCATAGAACTGGGAAATTGAACAGCAGACCCTGATCTTATCCAAAGGAATATAGACAACTGATTACCACTAGACGAGGAACAGCTGACCATCCTAAAACAAAGACCTCTAGATAGGCTCACCAGAAGGGCAACTAGTGGGGAATGGCTGGGGGTGCCGACAACACAGCAGACAATAGCAGGGACATCAGAGTATAAGGGCTCTAGTCGGGGGAAGGAGGCTATGGGAGGGTGCTACCTGCGAAGTGAGTGTATAAATAAATAAAAAAGAAAAAAAAATTCTTCAAAGCATAAAAATTTGCTCCTTAATTAAAAGAAAAGCTAAAGATATATCAGAAGAATAAGATGCTCATATTTGACAGATTTGTAGAAATTGTGCAGAGGTCTAACTGTGCAGTAAAGAGTTCTTTAAAAAATTTAAAAAAAAAACTCATTCAACTTTATGTCTTACAGGGCTATACTGAGTTCAATATTGTATAACTGTATTAATTCAACTGTGAACCTAGAAACTTGCACCCACTTGTGAAAGAGATGTACTCTTGCTCTGGACTGTGTTACTGAATATGTTAAAGCTGTAGTGAAATGCTTCTTCTAATCATGTAGTTATTAAAAATTTTTTAAAAACAAAAAATAATAAAGCCCCCCCCAATCTTTCTCTTCTACTGTCTTGTATATGTTATCAGAGGTAGGTGAGAATGAGGTCTAGCATCTCATAGGTGCTGTGTCAATGTACAGTACCTAACCCCCAAACATCTATTTGCCTTTTTAAAAAAATGTATTTATTTTTATGTGTATGAGTGTTTTGCCTATGTGTAAGTGCGCCTGTACATGCAATGCCCATGAGGCCAGATGAGGGTGTTGGATGCCCTAGAATTGGAGTTAAGGATGATAGTTAGCCACCATGTGGGTGCTAGGAACTGAAACAAGGTCCTCTGCAAGAGCAGCCAGTGTTCTTAACCACTGAGCCATCTCTCTAGCCCCAAACTTATATAGCACCACACATAAAAAATGATTGGTTTCTCTTTCATCAGGAGTCAGTTGCGAACTCTTCTCTGTTGGCATCCTTATTCCAGGACCTACAGTAATGCCATACAGAGCAATTCCGGTCAAAGCTGCAGAGGGAGTGTGTCCTCTAAGCTAGGAATCCACCCTTAAATGTTCCAAACCAAAAAACTGTAAACAATGTTTCAATCTAGAACTGACACACTGCTTTTACTCACAATACATTGGTCAGAATTAGTTACAAGGCCTCATGCAACCACAACTCCTCATTATAGCCCTGAGAGGTGGCCCACACCTGTAATCCCAGCACTTGGAAGGCTGAGACAGGAAGAATTGCTGTGAGTTTGAGACCATCCTGAGCTACATGGTAAATTCTAGACCATCGGGGCTACAGAGTGTGATGTCTCAAACATAAGACAAGCCACGCGTGGTGGTACACACCTTCGATCCTAGTACTCCGGAGGCAGAGGCAGGCAGATCTTTTGTGTGCATGTATATGTATGTGCATGCATGCTACAGAGAGAGAGAGAGAGAGAGAGAGAGAGAGAGAGAGAGAGAGAGTCAGAGGACAACCTGAAGGAGTCACTTCTCTCCTCCTTTCACCCTGTTGGTTCCAGGGACTTAACTCAGGTCATCAGGTTTAGCAGCAAGTGCCTTTACCCACTAAGCCATCTCACCAGCCCTCCAACTACACTTTTGACAGTACTATATAAATGAAATCAAGTCTCTGTAACTTCAACCAACCTTAAGACCAGTTTACCATGTGCCCAGAAGCAAGACATGCCTCAATCCCAGCAATTGGTAGAGGTTGAAGGATCACAACTTTGAAGCCAGCCTGATACACAGCTATAAACCTACACACCCTACAAATGAATTGGTTCTTAGCCCTTTAGTTAAGAGAAATGTACCATGTGCCTTTAACAGGAAACTGGTAATACAGCACTGACTACCTCACAGCAATACACAACAGTGAATACCTAAATCACAAGCTTATCAGATAACCCTCTTTGACAGGCACAGTGACGTATCTTTAATCCCAGAGGCAGGCTGATCTCTGTGAGTTCGGGACCAGCCTGGTCTACACAGTGACACCCTATCACAATCAACTCTCTTCCATTGTTTGAGTAAAAGCCAAGCTCCAGTACAAGTAAGAGTAGAAACAATTAGCTGTACTGTAGCTGTAATCCCAGACATTTATGAGGCTGGAGTAGATCATAAATTCAAGGCCAGCCCAGGTCACCTAGTGAGAGATCACAAAGAACAAGTCATCTATAGTATGCAGACATTTACTAGCTGACTTTGGCAACAAACAGAATTAAGGAGTGCCTTAAAAAAACAAAATTATCTCAGCAGGGTAAGGTGGCACACCCCTTTAATCCCAGAGGCAGGCAGATCTTCAAGGCTAGCCTGGTGTACATAGCAAGCTCCAGGTCAGCTGAGGATACAAGGAGGCCCTGTCTCGAAAAGAGAAAAAAAAGAATTATCCCTAGATTACTCATAATATCTAATACATTATAAACACCATGCCAATGTATTATGTTGTTGCTGTATAATATTCTTTGGGGAGAAATGTCAAGAAAAAAAGGTACAGCTCAGCATGGACATTTTTAAAAAATATTTTCAGGAAGCTGGAGTGGTGGCACATGCCTTTAATCCCAGCACTCAGGAGGTAGAGGCTGGGGGATCTCTGTGAGACTAAAGCCAGCCTGGTCTACATAGCAAGTTCCAGGCCAGCTGAAGCTCCAGGGAGACCCTGTCTCAAAAACCAGACCAAACCAATTTTCAGGGGTGATGTAGCTTCAATGAGAGTACTTGCCTAGGATGTATGAGGTCCTAGGATCAATTCTTAGCACGGAAAAAATAGTCAAAAGTTCAACCTGCAGTTGGCTGCATCCATGAATGGTTATAGAGGGTCAACTGTGATTGTCTGGCCTAGGTACAGATAACTAGCTGATATAGGGCAGTCCTAATTGGCCCTGCCCCAAAATTTTATACTTAAACCAAGCTTTTTGTTTGTTTAAAAACAAGGTCTTTAAATAAATAAATAAATAAATAAATAGGGTCTTGCTATATAGCCCAGGCTGGCCTCAGCAATCCTCTTGCTTCCTCAGTGCTACAGATCACAGGCATGCTCCACAGACAAAGCTTTGAATACTTTCTTGCTTCAAAGTTTGAAAATGTTAAATTTCCAGCTAGGCCTGGTTACCAGCCTATAGTCCCAGCACTTGGAAAGTGGAGGCAGGAGGATCAGGAAGCCAAGGCCAGCCTCAGCTCTCATGACTGTCTCAAAAAAGAAAGAAAAGTTAAATTTCAGATATAGGGATTAACTTTTCCTTAGTACTAATTTTAAGGGTAGACGTCACCATGACACATACTAGAAATATATATTTACCTTTATTGCATTAGAAAAATTCACTTAAGCCACACAGTGGCCAGAGTACCCACACCCTGAGCAGGCCTGGTCATCCCACTGCCCTCTTTGGTCCATTATATACAAACACATGCACAGTATATTGGAGGAAGAACTTAAATGTAAAACTGAGAATTAGACATTGAATATTATTCCATCTTTCCCCTCCTTACAGCCCTCAACTGTGATCCAAACAGAACTCTCATAGAACAGACTGAACACTAAATAAACCAACCAGAAGATACTCATGTCCAAAGGAACCCTCTTGGATGGTTCTTGGATGCTGCAGCACAAGGTGTCCAAGCTACACTGCTGTGGACAGTAAAGCATACATCGGACCCTGGGAGAGTGAGAACATTCCACAGCCAGAAAACCCACTCACACCTGTGCATTAAACAGGCTTTTTCCAGGGCAAGGAGCATACAAACAGGGCCTTCCGGGCCTAATAGTTCTTTGGAGACACTGGTCTTGAGTCTTAGAAATGGAACACCTGGATGGACATCTGAGGTCAGTGTGCCAAAGTACGGCTGGCACCCAGAGGGAGGTTTTATTGCACTCCTCTAGATGGATGGTCTGGAAGGCCCTTGGAAGGCTCTGTGTTGGCTAGTTGACCTCTGGTGGTCCAGGGGCTCCCAGGCAATGGGCTCTCCAATAAGCCCCCCAGTGATTCCATCAGTCTAATGAAGATGGACAGCAGGGTCAACACCACACCAAGAAGATAGAGGTTCAACATATGCTTCATGGCAGCAACTCCCAGCTTCCTTTGCAGTGCAGGAGGGCCCCTTCTGCTTCTGGAACCTGAAAAATAGATCAGTTTGGAGACTTGTATTCATCTAACACACTTCCCAGGAGCTAAAAGAGAAGCTCAGTCATCCAGAGAGACTGGGACCACTGCATGTCTGCCCATAGCAGAATCTCCAAATATATTTACACTGTAAACTCCATGGCTGAGGCCGGGCATGGTGGTGCACGCCTTTAATCCCAGCACTTGGGAGGCAGAGGCAGGCGGATCTGAGTTCAAGGCCAGCCCGGTCTACATAGTGAGTTCCAGGACAGCTGGGGGTACCGGGAGACCCTGTCTCAAAAAGACAAAAAACAAAAAAAACAAAAAAAACTCCATGGCTGGAAAGTCATAATTAGTTCTTGCACTAATTTCAACAGCACTGCTTCGAGGCCAGCCTGGTCTACACAGTGAATTCCAGGACAGCTGGGGCTACAGGGAGACCCTGTCTCAAAAAAGACGCCCCCTCCCCCGAAAAGAACTCATCTTTCAGGCAGGCATGGTGGTGCATGCCTTTAATCCCAGCACTCCAGAGGCAGAGGCAGGCAGATCTCTGTGAGTTCGAGGCCAGCCTGGTCTACAAAGAGTTCCAGGCCAGCTGGGGCTACAAGGAGACCCTGTCTCAAAAAGAAGAAAAAGAAAAAAAAAAAGTGGGGGCAGGTCTTTACACAGTCACAAGGGGATTTTTTTTTTTTTTTTAATTTTTGGACACAGGGTCTCCCTGTAGCCACAGTTGGCTTGGAACTCACTATGTTGGCCAGCCTGGCTTCGATCTCACAGGGATCCACCCACTTCTTCCTCCCAGTGCTGGGGTTAAAGGCAAGCAACCGCCTGCCCAGGAGACTATAAACTTTTCGAACGTCAATATAAATGAAAGGGGCTTTGGCAGCAGATGCCTGTAATCCCAGCTACTTTGAAGGTTGAGGCAGAAGGCACATTTAAGGCCAGAGGCCTGGGCTAATGTGAATTCAAGGCCAATCTGGGAACTCAGTGAAATTTTGTCTCAAAATATAAAGTAAAACCGAGGGTTGGGATATAGCCCAGTGGTAGAGCCCCTTACCTAGCATATACAAGACCCTAGGTTCAATCCCTAGTACGTCAAAACACACAAAAGCAACAACAAACAACAGAATCAAAACTATTAGGTTATTCAACAAATATTCCAGAATGCTTCCAACACATTAGGCATTCTGGAAGGTACTTAGGGTCACGCGGTCGTTTTGCAGACACGACCCATCCCTCACCGCGGCAGTTAACACACAACACTCTAAAGCAGTGGTGGTCGAAGAATCTAAGGGTGCTTTGGAAATGCAAGGCGCGCATAGGGTGGCCCAGGGATCCTAGATAGAGCCATTTAGAAAAGGCAGAGTGGGCTTGGCAGACAAGCTGCGGCAGGGAAGAGGCTGGGATTGCAGCGTCCCGGCCGGGGGCGCAGGGAGCGCGCCCGCTGCGCAGCCCGAGGGATGGGGCGAAGGATCCGGGACGCTCAGGGCCAGCTACCTCGAGGCCGAAGGGCCGGGAGACGTCCGCTCCTGTCGCAGCAGGCGGTCCAAGAATCAGGAAGATGCGTCCGCAACTACTCCACGCAGGAACTGCCTTTGTAGGCGCAGGCCGAGAAAAACCTACAGCCCCCGAAGCTCCGCCCCTTCTGTCCGCAGGCCCGCCCCCCACGCCCGGGGGGTTGGGGGCGCATGCGCACACTGGCCGTACGCTCTCCGTGGCACGTCCCTGGCCCATTTGGCCCCCGCGCGTGCTATTTCCGGAAATTTGCGCTGTGCGGGTGAATCACCGGGGTCGTGAGTGGAGTTAGGCGTGAGGATCTACCCCACCTGCCTTCTGCTGGCAAACTTCAGAAGGGCCCTTGACCCCATACACCGTCGCCGGAAGCCACACTTGAAGTGACCTCATTGTTAGGGCCCTTCGTGAATGAAGATCCTGCAGGGATTTTTTTCTTTTTTTTAATGCAGGTTCTATGTAGCCAACCTTGTCCTCGAACCTACGCTCCTGCCTCAGTTTCCCCTGAAAGTGAATATTTCTCCTGGCTTTGGTGTGGGCGCCTAACTGCATTTGGACAAGTCATCTTATGTCAAGAGCGTCCGGTCCCCAGTAAGGGCTTTGGCTCCTAAATGCCTTTATAAGCTTTTTAAGGGGTCCTTAAACTTGAGCTGGAGCGGCAGGAGGGCACAGTCCAGTTTTCTGTCCATTTTTGGAGGCTGGGCTGCCTTGCTAGTCACCAGCCAACCCCAACCAAAACACTGAGGATGTTCTGTGGCAATACGGGATCTCAGAAAATTAACTGGGGATATTGCCGGAATGGGATGTTGTTATGGGGGAGGTATAACATCCAGGCCCGGAAGAGAGGCTGTGGGTGAAGAGTGGGTCGAAGTCGCTGGCAGAGATGACTTAAAGCGAAGTTTCTTTGCGCTCTAGGACGGGCGATTTAGCTAGTGCCCAAGCTGAGTCAGGGAGAATCCGTTTCCAAAACTCGTTGAACCCAGTCAGATCCCTGCCGCGACCTTTCCCCTACTTTTCCAGTGTCCAGAAGGAGGGCTGAGGAGGCGAAAGTCAGGAAATGGGACGTGCTGGCAGACAGCAGGCATGTGGGAGTCAACTTTACTGCACAACCCACATTCGTTTTTGGTTCATCATTACACAGAGAATCTGTGCCCTTTAACCCAGAATTCCACTTCTAGGAATTTTCCTTCAAGTAGACTCCCACCTGTGGAGAATGGAGTATGTAGTTATTAGAGTACTGTTTCCATCTGCAAAGGACTGAGAAAGCTCATCAATAAGGAACTGGTTATATAAATTATGGTGCATCCATGCTGTGTGAAAAAAAAAAGTTCTCTACATATTGACACAATCTCCACAGTGTGTTGTTAAGAAAAGTAGCTTGGGGGGGTGGGGCTGGAGAGATGGTTCCACTGTTTTAAGAGCACTGGCTGCTCTTGCAGAGAGCCTGGCTGTTTCCCAGCACCCACGTGGTGGCTAACAACTATGGTAACTCCACTTTCAGGGTATCTGATGCATTCTTCTGATCTCTGCAGATGATACATTCATACACATAAAATAAAAATAAGTATTTTAAAAGAAGTAGCTGGATGTGGTGGCACATGCCTTTAATCCCAGCATTCTGAAGGCAAAGGCTAGTGAATATGAGATTGAGGCCAGCCTGGTCTACACAGTGAGTTCCAGACCAGCTGGGGCTACAAGGAGACCCTGTCTCAAAAAAACACAAAAGGCTGGTAATGTACTAATGTAGTATTTGTCTTACCACATAAATTACTACCACACCCATAATCCCAGCACTTGGGAGATGGATGAAGGAAGACCATGAGTTCAAGGGTTATCTTTATACTTAGTGCGTTGGAGGCCAGCTTGGGGTACATGAAATGCTGTCTCAAAAAACAAAACACTGGTATATGCCCTAACTTGGATGAAACTTGAAAATAGTCTAACTGAAAGAAACCAGACACAAAGGAATATATAATGTATGATTCCATTTGGTAGCTTGTCAGAATAGGCAAATCTAAAGAAACAAAGTAATTAGTGGTTGTACATCAAAGGGTGTGAGGTTTCTTTTGAGGGTTATGAAATGTTCTGAAATTAGTAGTGATAGATTCACAAATCTGTGAATGCACTTAAAACCACCGAATTGTACATTTCATTTAAAATGGTGAAATTTGGACTGGGAATGTGGCTCAGTTGCTAGAGTGTTTGCCTGACTTGCTCAAACCCTGGGTTCACTCCCCAGCATTGCATAAATTGGGCATGATGGTGCATGCCTGTAATACCAACACTCAGGAGGCAGAGGCAGGAGGATTCGAATTTCAAGGTCATCTTCTAAAATGTAGCAAGTTTGAGCACAACTTGGGATACAAGAGACCTTGTCTAAAGAAAAACAAGCTGGGTGTGGTGGTGAACACCTTTAATCTCAGCACAGGCAAAGGCAGGGAAAGATCCAGGCCAGCCTCTTTTATACAATGAGCTCAGGCAACCTGGGGCTACAGGGAAACTCTGTCTCAAAAAGGCAAAACAAAATCAAAGAACAGCAACAAAGGTGAAATTTATTATGTAGGCTATATCTCAATAAAGTAATTTTTTGGAGTTAGGGTATTGCTGTGTATTATTAAGGCCAGCTGGCCTCAAACTTTTAATCTGCTTCAGTTTCCAAATCCTAGGATTATGGGCATGGGCCACAGCATGACTGACTGTGCCATTTTTTTTAAAGGATAATAAAAAAAGGACATCTTTAGACAACAAAAACAGAGAAGTAACCACCATAGGCCTTTACTAAGGAAACTTTTGTTGTACTTAAGAAAGAAGAAACTGAACCCAAAAGGAAATGAAATACAAAAAATGAGAAAGCACATGGATCTATCTAAATAAATTATGGTTGTTCAAACTATTTTTAATAATAATGGTTAGTGTGGGGAAGTAAAACTAAGATGACTTAAGAAAACCTGGTAAACATTTAAGACGGGAACGGGAAGCTGGGTTCCGTGTTGGACATCTGTAATCCTAGCAGTTGGGAGGCCAGGCAGGAGGACCAGTTCAATGCCAGCCTCAACTATGCAGTGTATTCGAAGACAGCCTAGGCTACAGGAGCTCTCAGTGTGGATTAATCTTGATTATCAATTTGATGAGATTTAGAATCACCATAGAAACAACTTCTGGGTTTGTCAGGGAGTCTCCTGATTAGGTTCATTGTAGTGGGAACACTCATCCTAAATGTAGACAACGCCATTCTTTGGGTTAGGGTGCTGAACTGAATGAAAAAGAGAATGTGCTGGATATGGTAGCATATGCCTTTAATTCTAGCACTCGGGAGGCAGAAGCAGGTGGATCTCTGTGAGTTGGAGGCCAGCCTGGTCTATGTACTGAGTTCCAGGTCAGCAAGGATTACATTGTGAGTTCCTGTTTGGAAAAAGAAGATAGAGGGAATGGAGATATGGCTCAGCAGTTAAGAGCACTGGCTGCTCTTGCAGAGGACCCAGGTTTGGTTCTCAGCACCCACGTGGTGGGCTAACAACCATCAGTAACTCCAGTGGTAGGCACCTTCTGACCTCCGTGGGCATTATACAACACTGGTGCACTTAACATAGGTGTAGGCAATACACTCATACACATAAAATAAAATGTATGTATATGTATTATAAATATGTGTATGAGTGTATTGCTTGCATGTGTGTAAGTGCACCCATGTTGTGCAATGCCCTCAGAGGTCAGAAGAAGGCATTGGATTCCCCCAGAACTGGAGTTAGGGACGGTTTGTAGCCGCTATGTGGGTGCTGGGAATTGAACCTGTTCCTCTGCAAGAGCAGCCAGTGCTCTTAACTGCTGAACCATCTCTCCAGCCCCCAAATGTATATTTTTTAAAGGAGATAGATAACTGAGCAGTATGGATGCTGTGGATGCAATGTGGCCAGCTGCCTCACCTTCTCCTGCCCATACCTTCTCCTCTTAATGGACTGTACCTTCAAACTGTAAGCCAAAACAAATCCTTAAGTTGCTTTTCTCAGGATACTTTATTACACCACTAGAAAAAGAACTAATGCACCTTGTTTCAAAACAGGGAAGGGGGTAGCCCACAAGGAACAGAGATAAAGTTTAGCCAGCCCATTTATTTGGGAAGAAAATAGATATTTTACATTTTAAATTTGTGGGGTTTGGGAGGAGAAGCTGTGCATGCCATAGTATCAGGTTGTCAGGCTTGGCAGGAAGCCTTTTACCGTCTTTTTGGATCCAGGAAAGTAGATAGCAGTTTTAGACCTTTTACGTTTGTAAGCCTAACAACCTGGGAGGCTGAGGGAGGCCGATCATGTGAAGTTGGGTGTAAAGACAGCTGTGGTGGTTTCCACTGCAATCCCAACAACATTAAGAGACTGGGATAGAGAGATAGAGAGTTTGAGGCCCACCTAGGCTACTTAGCCAGAACTTGGGGTGGCGGGGAGGAAGGAAAGAAAGAAGAAAATGAGAGAGGAAACAACAAACAAAAAGACCCCCCCACCCAAATAACAACAACAAACAACTACAAAAAACCCCAGTAGTTTCTGCCATAAACAGGAGGGTGTGTACCGCAGGATAGAAATATCTTCTGTTCTCTGCTGGATCTTCACTGGTTAACATATTCAATAGATCTTTGAAGAGTGAACGGGTGGAGGATTGGCTTGCTTACTTCCAGACCCTGTACAAAAGTCATTTCTCCTAGAAGCCATCTTAAACAGCCTATATAAGGCAATACAGGAAACCCTCTCCATCTCCCTTTCTCTGCTTCATTTTTTTCTTCACAGTGTTCAGCACCACCAGCCCTATCTCATATTCCTTTATTGACCATCTTGTAGAAGACTATAGCTCCTTGAGAAAGAGGACTGGATTGTTCTGAAAATTACTATGTACCTAAACCTATAACAGTGCCTGACATATAGTAAGCCCTAAACAAATAGCTACTCACTGAATTACTTTATGAGTATTTTCATAAGTTTTTGGAAAAAAAGAACAGTGGCTCAATGACCAATTCAGTTTGCCAGTATTTTGTTTTGGTGGGATTTTTTTGTTAGTTTGTGGTCATGTTTTTGAGACAGAATTTCATTCTACAACCCAAACTGACTTGGAATTCACTACGTAACTTAGCTTGG